AGTCTGTATCTCTACGAGTATCTTTTTTTGTTTGTTTTTCTCTTTGGTGTTTTGGGGTTTGTTTGTTTTTAATAACACCACTCTATGGGCTTTGCACTTTCCTTTAGAAAGTGGCAAAGCCTGGTGAGGGAAAGAAAGCCTTAAAATAGTCTTTAGGAGTTGTAGTTGCAAATACCTTTACATTTTGGGGGTGAGCATTTTTATTTTGGGTGTGGTGATAACACTGAGTTTAATTTAAAAATCAATCCTGTATGCCATTTATCTCAAATGAAGCACGAACTCCATGTGGATGAATTGAAATTGTTCATTTGGGCACTATGGTTAAAAAGGTATTAAAGACATACAGCTGTAGGGTGACTGATAGATAATAATTCTAACTATAAACAGGGGTCTGTCACCTCTGACCTTCCAGTCAGGCTCCTGTTACAGTTTGGAGCTGGGCTCTTGTAAAAAAGAGAATGTCCACAGCCTGTAATGATGGAATGACAAGAAAAACCATTTGCTTTGTTCATTGATGATTATTTATAAGAGTAGGTTACGTGAAACCATGTTTGCATCTTAATATTGTCTTTGGTCACAATCAGAGAAGGGAAGGGACCCAGTTGGAAGGGACCCAGAAAGACCATCGAGTCCAACTCTTAAGTGAAGGGGATCCTGTACAGGGATTGCACCCACACTCTTGGCGTTGTTTGCTTGCAGTGTGTTCATGCTGTCTGTGTACATTCAGTAATTCCAGGCTTTATTTATTTTATGCTTCTGCTGGATTAGAAATATGACGAATTCTTAGATTTTTCTGGCTTTCGACTCGCAGCTGCCGCTGCATGTTAAAAACTGGTGGGGATTCCTGCTCCCTCCAGTTGTTTCAACAGCATTAAAAAGACATAAACAGGGAGTGATTGAGGAGAGGGCCAGAGATTCCACAGCACAGCGAGGAGAGCACAGCCAGCAGACCAGCTCAGTGCATTCTTCCCTGCTGGAAGGAGCAATGCCAGTTATTCCAGAGTGCCAGAACAGCTTTGCTGGGGAAATGGGTGCGAGTTAAAGAGTCTCTGAGGCTCCACCTCCTTCATCCCTGTGCCAAGTGCACCTCAGCTGAGATCAGTGGGTGCTGGTGACTACCCTGTGGTCCTGGCACAGCTGGCAGGGCTGGGGAAAGGTGCTGGCCTGGAGCAGGATGACCTCCAGTTTCCAAGACCTTTGGAGATAGCTGGTGGAAAGGAGAGTATCTTGCAGCAATGTGGATAACTGCTGGGTGCTGATCTTTGGTGAATGCTAAGAAATGAGAGGAAGATATAATTTGAAATAATAACAAATCATGCCAGTGCTAGTGAAGTACTGAGGTCTGAAGTGATGGAAAAGACAGCAAGGTGCAAAACTCAAAGCATTTTGCTAGAACTTACATAAAGACACGCATTTTACCACGTTAAGTGCTTGTATTTCTAAAAAACTGCCACAGTACATGGCTTAAAAGATAAAAATCTTTTTCCATTATATAATGAAAGAACATAAGTGTAAGTAGTCCTGTAGTTGTCTGCAGCAGAGTTCTGGTGCTAGCATGTTTCCATTTTTACTCTCAATATTTTTCTTATTTCTGTGGAAGCTTCTTGATTCAACCTCCTTCTCTGAGAATTTTTTACATTTCAGCTACAGATCATTTTAATTAGCTTTTTAATTACAGCTAGAGCAGGCTATTTACAGCACTCCTGTCATAAACAAGTCCATGTGAGGAAAAATAAGAGGTGATTAGCTACTGCCATTTTCCTCTCACAGAAAGGGGGAAAGGTTTTCTCTGTCTTGTAGCAAATACAAACCCGTTATGATTTTTCAGGTCATCTCAGACTGAGATCTCTTGCTGTGAACGTGGTTCTTGTTGCAGATTCTGAACTACCCCGGTGGCTAAATGTCCAGAGAGCGCTGAAAGAAACCCTTGAATAAGGGAAATCCTACTGTCATCACCTGCCCAAAATGTGACAGGAGGGCCCAGTGCTTAAGGACAGCTCCTGGAGTCCACCAGGAGTCACAAGGTGGGAGTTCTTTGTGAGTAGCATCGGGCTATGGACACTATTCTGTGAAATCTATGGCTGCAGATCCTTCTGGGAAACCCAGCCAAATGTGCTTTGGAGCTCTCTGTTAAATGCACGTATTTGGTTCATATTCAAGGTTAGCTGAGGAAAATGTGAAAGTATTTGTGTTCCCAGCTCTTCTCTGAGGTGTAAGGTCTTACATCCAGGGAACTTAAAGGACCAAGTCATGATAATTTGTCTGAGTCTATAAGTGTATGGTATGAAAGGTAACAGTACTCTGATCTTAAACCTCTTTATAGCACATTAAAAAAATGTGCTATATACCAGGCATAAAATAGTTTATTCTACTTTTTTCCCCCCCCTTTAATTCCATCATATCCTGCCAAGTTTTTATTAACATCTTTATTGTCTATAAAATAACAGAACTCTTTGATAGCTATTTTTTTGCAGTGCAATATACTTTCTGTAGCATCTAAATATTGTTGTTCCCTACTAATTCAGCATTTTGTTTTCTTAAATATTTATATGCAATACTGAGTGTGAAACCTGAATTTCCAGGAAAGCTTGTTCATCTTAAATCAGGAATTAGCAATAATGTGCAAGCACTTTTTCAGCAAACAAGCTCTGAGTTTTCTGTATTTGTGTTCTGTTAAATTTGCACAGAACAATGTATTAAGCTTTGTGTGTTAGCACTAATCACGTGATATTTTTCCCTTTGTAACAGTTTTCCTTTAGAAAGTGGCAAAACTTGGTGAGGGAAAGAAAACCTTAAAATAATCTTTAGGAGTTGTAGTTGCAAATACCTTTACATTTTGGGGGTGAACATTTTTATTTTGGGTGTAGTGATAACACTGAGTTTAATTTAAAAAGCAATCCTGTATGCCATTTGTCTCAAATGAAGCACGAACTCCATGTGGATGAATTGAAATTGTTCATTTGGGCACTATGTTTAAAAAGGTATTAAAGACATACAGCTGTAGGGTGACTGATAGATAATAATTCTAATTATAAACAGGGGTCTGTCACCTCTGACCTTCCAGTCAGGCTCCTGTTACAGTTTAGAGCTGGGTTCTTGTAAAAAAGAGAATGTCCACAGCCTGTAATGATGGAATGACAAGAAAAACCGTTTGCTTTGTTCATTGATGATTATTTATAGGAGCAGGTCATGTGAAACCAACCATTACTGAGGCTTTTGCGGGGGGATTTGAAAAAAGACTGATTGGGGTTTTTTTCCCCCTGAGTTTTTTTGTGTTCAGATCTGTGTTTCCTTATGCGTCGGAGGCGTTTTGTGTGTTATCGCTATTTCAGTTATAAGTAAGAATTATCCTCTGTTCCCAAAGAACATCTGGGTTCTTTATTCCTTTATTCTTTCCTTTTTATTCTGAGCTCTTTACTCCTCCCTTCTGTCCTGGTACAGCAGCAGTGCAGTGGTGCTACACGATCCTCCCAGCAGCCCCATTCCCGAGGGCCGCGGGGCGCGTGTGTCGGCACAGCCACCTGCTGCGCTCACCCTGGCTCCCAGTGCGGCTTCGAACACAAACTGGTGTGCTGAACAAAATGTGATACCATGCACTTTCCCACCGGGTTTCAGCTTGTCCTTCCTCAAGAGTTATTGATGACTCTCAGTGCACAGAGAGCTCACTCTGTGGTCCAGCACTAGCTCCAAAGCAGCTTGCTCACAGTCACCAGGGTTTTAATGCCATTGCTTTAAGCCTGTTAAATTATCTTCAACGTGCAGCAGATCAGCTTGCAGGCTGTGTGTTTAACAATTACTCACTTTTGGTATGGTTTGCTCCACCAGTTCAAAGGGAATTTTGTATTTTCTTGGCACACAGGTGTTTTGGCTCAGATAACTATCAAATGCTAATGCTTTGGATTAGATTTTGGCTTCGATGATGACTGCCATGACAAGCACATGCAAGACATACTATTAGAGCACTGGACATATTTTCAAAGGCAGCAATCTTTGTGTCTTGCAGAAAGTAGAATGGCATCCTGTGACGATAGGTTTGTTTTCTTTATTTTCTCATGTATTTGTTGCCATGCCTAAATATTGCAAGGCTACTTGTGCTATAAGAGCATTTCCTCTTTTAAAATTATTTAAAAGGTGTAAGAACCACTGTTTACTTTTATCTAGAGAGGTAAGGATGCTGTACGTTATTTTCCTTTCATTTTTCTTTCCGGATCAAAAGACTGTGTTTAATTGCTTTTTGGCACTTATCCTCCAATTGCAAATGCTACTGTAGATATCACTTGTGTTACTTTTCTACTTTCTCTACTGCTGGGCATTGAGTGCAAAATATTGTAAGCAGTAGCATTTCCACTGACTGACATTTGGTCCTAGGAACTAAAGATCAACAAAATAACCTGGAACAACAGGCTCCTGCTCAAAAGTCAGGAATGAGAGTCAGGTGATTGTGCATTTTTTGATTGGACATTAACACGCTTTAAATATGGGTAATGTGCAGACAGTAATATTAAAAATCAGTATTTAGGATCTCCTTGTGTGTTTAAATATTTGGTTTAAAAAGCAAATAAGACTGCCTACTTTTCTTGAACTCAGATTTGCTTATCTACCTTCACCTAGGCTGACAGAATGAAGAAGACAGGTATGTTTAATTTAGACTCTATTCTGCTGCTAGCTCACAATGAAACAGAAAATTTTGCTTAACATAAGTAAGTATTAATAACTTTTTATTAAAAAGGTGGATTAGAAGACAAGAAATTGAAATATGAACCTTTGAGTAAATGATTTTAAGTCCAGTCCTCTTATATTATCCTCCAGAAATGCAACACTCTGCATTGAAAATATAAGTATTAAATAAACAAACACTTAAAAGCAGAATAATTGTTAGTAATTCTATGTAATTACTTTCTCCCTGGGTTAATATTTAATTACCACACAGTTAAGACATCTGGGAAAGCCTAGTTTAGATCAGCTTTGTTATTTCTATACTACAGCACAAGAGATGTGAATAATTGGAGTAATATTTTATTGATCTCAAACAATACTTCTTTCAGCAATTAAAATGCATGATGAGTCATATGAACAAGGTGAAAATAAAGCACAACCAAAAAAAAATAACTTCACATTTTTTTCCATTTCATTCTTAGTGTAAGCAATAAATACAATGCTATAGCTTCTAATAATCTTATTTACATAGTACAATATGTGAGTGGTGTCTGGTTTCCAGCCCAAATGTTTCTTGACATGAAAAGGAGTACGTGTTGCAGCATTTCTACAGCCAAATAGTCGAGCAGATCATCACCACGAAAAACTACACAGCATAAATGCTACCATTAAACAAACAACTGAGGGGATCCTGCAGTGGAGCATTTTATTAATTGAAGACAGTAGCATAAAAAATAGACATTTTCTCCCATAGAATTCTAACATGCTGGTGTTACAGATAACAAACATAAGACAACTATTTCTGTAGCCCCTGGAGATTGATACAATAAATCCCCACTAAATTAAAAAAGGAAAAAAAAGAAAGAGCAAATAATAACAGGTAACTATTTGCATGTTCAAAGGAATCTCACAGGCCCACCAAAACCTTTTACTTCCATCCCAGAGAATACAGATAAAGACCTACAGCCTTCTGCAAAGTAGAAGATCAGCCATGAGAAATCAGCATAAGGATTTGATTTTAATTTATGGCGACAGGAAAACATATTAAGAAGCAGATGCTTCTCTCAGTTATGTAGAAAGAGAAAAAGGTGAGGTAGGAAGACAAAATAAGGAATTGGTATTTTCCAATGCAAATTAGAAAATAGGGTATCTAACTTCATAAAGAGAGGGGAAAGAGAGCTCTCCACAGCCACAAACATTTTCTTGCACATCCAGCTGGATGTATGTTTCTTTTCCAAAGTGAAGACAGATGTGTGCCTAGAAGCGTGCTGCGAGTGTCCACCTACAAGGAGGATAATTTCTGTTGAAAAAACAATTTTTTTTCCCCTAAATTACCATTACAGGTTTCTCTAATAGAGGACAGAGAGCAAACAGCAGTTAGTATTTATTTGGCATTAAATGGTAAAAATCTATAAGCTACGAAATTTTAACTGCCTAGCTGAGAAGCTAAATTAAAGTCTAATACCGTGTCACACTCCAAACCATCACTTATGTTTTAATGACAACAACCCACCAGGTACCATGAAATAATTGTCTAATAATAAGCCATCAGGGATTTAAAGTACTTTAAAATGGACAGATACCTGCCTGGGCTTTGATTCTCAGCTGGTACCAGTTGGTTCTGCAAATGGAACTCAAGACAGATTTGTACCAGTTGATGATCTGGTCCCACAAGTGTAAAGCTGCTGTGCCAGAGCAGGGATTTTCTGCACTTCTGATATTTTCAGAACATTGCACCAATTTTAAGTAACACTACATAGATCAGCAAGCAGAGTTGTAAGTGGCCTCTAATCATGTACATCCTTACTGTATTCTCACAGTTTTAGAGTCTGTGACATCTGGTTGCCAGATTTCACGCCGCTCTACAGTACAGAATCCAACAGATTTTCCAAATCCCACCAGCCAACCAGGCAGCCTTGCAGAAGGAGAGAAGGGATTTGTGCGTCCTAGCCGAGATTCTATATTGTGAAAATAAATCATTAATAAAACACTTTCTAAATTCAAACTCCAGACGTAAGAACTGTAAAAACAATATGGAAAGGTGCAAGTGGCGTGAACTTCCCACATCCTCCTAATGTTTTCCTTCTAAATACAAAATATTTAAAGCCTTATGAAGTCACAAACTAATAAACACTGTGACATCAAGTTACCTAGATGCTAGTGAAGCTTACAGAAAAGCTACTGACAAAAATGTTTAAATGTTAGAGTCAAGGTGTTCATACACAAAATTAAGTATTTAAAACTGAAATGGTCTCAGAAAGAACTGTCTTTCGATTTTTGGACTGGTTTACATGCACCAGATATACATTAATTAGCATAATAGTCTGTCTGTTCCAGCATCTACTTTTTCTTCCACTTCATTTTGTTTTTTCCCCACTTCAAGTATACTTATCTGCAAATTAAACGTATAAAATTTTTTCTTACAGTTTTAATTTTCAGTAGGACTTTTCTGAACTCACCTCATTTCACGCCCTCATTCTTGAGAGCATTTTTGTCATTTCACTTCACAAAACTACGACTGCTTTAAAGCATAAAGATTTAACAAAAACATAGATTTCTATAAAGACACATTTCCTCAAGACCTTCCTGACAACCTCCTCGGTTTCAGTGAGACCTTTATGCACCAGTAGAACCAAAGAAACAACATATAAAGTACTGTTCTAAGCTGAGTAACTGAGGCAGATTCAGAAGCAAGCGGTCCAAAATATTATTAAAAGTCTCAATCCACAATGTTTGGACTCTTTATAAAAGAAACTTTATATTGGATTTTCCAAATAATGACAATTACTAACAGTAGTTTGCTTGATTAGTCTGAACCTCACACACTGGCTTTAAAGGTAGTATGTCATGTGCACTGTGTTCAGTCTTGCATGATTCTCTGAGACAACAAAAAAAGCCACAACATTAATCAAAACCTTGCCCAAGAATGAAGGAATAAATTACCAAGCATATGGCCAGGGAAATACTTAAAAATAAAATGAGAACAATGCTACAACAAATCCTGTACACGATCTTCTCCGGGTTGAGTGAATTCCTTCAGCACACAGTGAAGTTCCATCAGCTGCAATTACGTGTTAGTGTCTGGAAGGGTTTGCAGTTATTCAGATTACTCCTTTTCTTTCTGGCAGTGAGGCCTCATCAATCTTGTCTGTTTTAAAGCCAGGAAGAAACTTCCATACGCTTCAGGAGAAGGAGGCGTCTCTGAATGTGCCAAAATAGCTTAAATAAAATTGCTCAAAGCTTGCTGCAAGATATTACCTTGCAGCACGTAGAGACTCAGCCTTGAACTGGTGTCCCTATGCTTGATGTAAAATAGTGGGAAAAAACCCAAACTGGCCAAACCAAACTGTCAATATCTTTAACCAAACCAGCAATATCTGTTTCCTCAGACTACCTGTTGGGCTTTTTTTGACAGCCAGATAAATGCTGGACACAAAAAATAACCTGGATAACCTATTGTTATTATTGCACCTACTTTAACCATTTTGTTTTGTCCTATTTTATGCTGAATTAAGACAATAGAGTCTGGTATAAGATTCTATAGGCAAATGAAGTGGCTTCAACACAGCACAGTCTTACAACAAACTCCCAAGAAAATAAGAAATCCTTCATTGATTCCCTTTGTACAAAAAAATTGCCGACTTTGTCTACACAGTAGAAACTGAAGAGGCAAAGTTTGTAACCTTATATAAATGCACATACATATATAGATATATATGTACAGATGTCCATACTCGATACACAGAAACACAAACAAACGTATATATGCATATATAAATATATATATATGTATACATACGTACGAAAAACGCGCCTGTTTAGTTTGCATCGTTCGGGGAAAGAACATCATCCCGAGTTAGGTAAAAAATCTTCTGGCCATGAAGTCACTCGATCCGACTGGGAGTTCAGGAGGGCTGGCATGGGCCGGGCCTCGGCAGTTCAGCCGTAGAGCTTCTCAGTCTTTAAAACCACGCTCTCCATGTCATGGTAGCCCTTCCCGTTGAGGTGCTCGCTGGTGCAGTCGTGGTTGTAGCTGTAGCCCGGCACGTCGCTGATGGTGGACACGGTGTAGGACGCCGTGCGCATGGCGTCCGAGTGGCTGAAGCTGTGCTCGAACTGGATTTTGTACTGGTTCCAGTGTCTCCGCAAAACGGCCTGGACCTGTGGCAGAAGGCAGGAAGAGATTCATGTAAACTGGGCTTCGTTCTGTGCTACGTGAGGGCCGCGATAAAGGTGTCTCGTCGCATTAGACGGCACGGCTCGGTAATACCCACACGTCACTTGTCGCTTGAGGGGCAATATGAGTAATGTTGCCTCAGGGTTTTTTTGATTTTTTGTTTTTTTTTTAAATTTTTATAGGTTTTAGAATAGTTCATAGAATCACAGAATCAGCTGGGTTGGAAGGGACCTCTGAGATCATCAAGTCCAACCCTTGATTCACTACAGTTGCGGTTGCTAGACCATGGCACTGATGCCACATCCAGTCTCATCTTAAAAAACTCCAGGGATGGAGAATCCACCACTTCCCTGGGCAGCCCATTCCAATGGCTGAGCACCCTCTCTGGAAAGAAATTCTTTCTAATATCTAACCTAAACCTCCTCTGGCACAGCTTAAGACCGAGCCCTCTTGTCTTGCTGATCATTGCCTGGGAAAAGAGACCAACCCCCACCTGGCTCCCGCCTCCTGTCAGGGAGTTGTAGAGAGTCAGGAGGTCTCCCCTGAGCAACCTCTTCTCTAGGTTGAACAGCCCCAGCTCCCTCAGCCTCTCCTCATAGGACCTGTGCTTGAGTCCCTTCCCCAGCCTTGTTGCTCTCCTCTGGACCTGCTCCAGGACCTCAATGTCTTTCCTGAGCTGAGGGCCCAGAACTGGACACAGCACTCCAGGGGTGGCCTCACCAGTGCTGAGTCCAGGGGAAGAATCACTTCCCTGGCCCTGTTGGCCACACTGTTCCTGATCCAGGCCAGGATCCATTGGCCTTCTTGGCTACCTGGGCACACTCTGGCTCCTGTTCAGCTTCCTGTCAATCCAAAGTCCCAGGTCCCTCTCTGCCATACCCTTTAGCATGGTAGTTACACATATCCAACACTATTAGCCCATTTCACATCAATTCCCCCTAAATTCCAGTATCATATTTAGTCTCTTTTTCAAGGTAGGCCTTCATTCTGTTTAAGAACATCTGCACCCTGGCCTGGACAATGAGATATCACCCAGGACTTTGGGAAGCCTCCAAGGACTGTATGTGCTCCGAAGAAGATGAAGATGAGGAAGAGGGGGTCCTAAAATTCCCCCAGACTCAATTCCCGAGGGGCAGAACGGGGCAAAGGCCGGTGGGTGGACGAACAGGGATTGGATGGACATCATTATAAAAACTATTGCACCTGGGTCAGGGGATGTGTGTGGTTTGTATTCTCAGAGTCTGAGAGGCTTCATTAAGACCTTCCCTTATGTTACCTCCTACTTAAATTGCCCTGGAGTTTTTTCTCCCTGGATTTTTAGGCAACAGTAAGCATTATTTTTCAGCAAATTTGGTGTGAAATAATGACATTTTACAATTGCAATGTGCCAGTTGCTCAGAAGAAGCACAGGTTACGGGAGGAACAGCAGCAACACAATTTTCTGCTTAATCCCTTGTCAACTCCCGTCCAGTGTGGACAGATCAGATTCAGAGGTGAAAAAGGTAATTTGTGTTCACCCTTAAGTTCAAAAGGCCACATCTTCAGCACCTGTACATTCATTTACTCTCAACAAACCATAATTTACATTTGCTATGGTTCTGACACAAGCAAGTCTTTCCTAATTTCTGAACATACCTTAAGCCCATGACTAGAAGGACAATTTCCCGAACTCCACATTTCTACCAGAGTTAAAAATAAAGCTGGTAAAATAGCTGAAGGGCCCAGCTGGTTTACGTGTCTCCACTGAAAGGATACGATGTTTTGTCATAACCTTCCTCCCCTGCAATCTGGTTAAACACCTGGGCATACTGGGGGGATGAAGTGTCACATTCATGCAGTTCGCACGGAATTAGGCTTTCAGTGAAGATGCCAAGTGAGGAATGCCAAGAATGGCGATGGTTGTTGCTTTTTCAAGAGTTTTTTTATGTTTAAAAATCCCACAGATCATGAATATTTAATTTCCTCTTCAGCCAAAATTTGTACAGAAAATATTCCTGCATTGACTGGCCAGGCTGTGACTCAGGAAATACTGGGGAGCACTGATACCTCCATGTATTCAGCAGTGACTCCCCAAATCACAGGCACCATTCAAAAACACGACCTTCATTTCACTTTTTTACATACAAAAGAACTAACCAGTGAACAGTGAGTCCCCCAGTTAACTGTTTATATTGTGGATAAGTATTTTTAGGATTTTCCATATGTCTTCAGGGTTTCTTTTGTGTCTGCTTCTAATTTCCCTCACACAATGGCTTCTTTTGTCTAATTTTACTCTGGCTTTAATTATGAAAATTAAGAATAAATAGAAGAAAAGGGATGTAGTTTTTAGACTTCCTGCAGTCTGGTATCAGAAACCACTGTTTAAAGGAAAACTTCATATTTCCCAAAACCTTTACAAAGAAGATGTCAAAGGGTAAGGAAAGAAGCATCAACTGATTAACATAAGAAATTAGCATTTTAGGGCAAAGGAGATGCTCTCTTACCGTTCGTAAAACCTTTCTAATCCACTCTAAACATCTAAGCACAAATCTCCAAATCTTTGGAGAAAAATCAAGTATCTCAATACTTCTGAGTACCAGATCTTACTGCTTTTCATACCAAAATATCAGAGTCTAAAGGCAGAGTTTGTGTTTCAGCACAGGAAGTTTTGATTAATTAATATATGCATTACACAGCAATATAGACACTTTTCTGTAATCTGTCCTAAAGCCAAGAGAAGAAGCATATTCAAAATTCCATCTTTTCCAAGAAGGAAGCTTCCAATTTAGTTTGAAATCCTATCAATGAATCTGTGCCTATCACTAAGCTATGTTCTATTTGTTCTCCTCCCCACAGTCAATGACCTCAATAAGATTATTTCTGGCATTCTTCATGAGGCCTCTCTGTTACTGCTGAGTCAGGATTTCACCCCTGTCCTGCTCCAGGTCTGTTCTTGTAGGGTGTTAACACCTTTCAGGTTTTTATCACCGTCTTTCAGTCTTCTCTAACCTTCCAATCAACCATTTGTAGGAGAGGATGGGAAAAATCAACGAGACAACTAATTCTCACTAGTAACTCTAACAATATGAGTATCTACTCAGGACCTGAGAATAGAACTTTTACCACTCAGCTTTGAGCAGTTGCACAGAGCTGTAAATGCAGCTCAGGATGGGTAACACTTTGGGACTTTTGTTACAAGAAAGGATATTAAGCAATGCATTTAATGAAAAAAGGTAATGGAATAATGTAATTCTATTTCTCAGTCATTTACAGAGATGTTAGTTCCAGCTGGAATACTCTTGCTTCTGCACCTTATTAGTTGGTAATGGCTCTTTTTGATGACTTTTCATGAAGGGGTGCTTCCAGTCAGCCCTTAACAGCTTGATGTTCAATAGCACAAAAATCAAACAGCTCAGGAGGCAAAAAAAAGGAAAAAAAAAACAAACCAAAAAAAACCCCACCAAAAAAACACAACACAAGCTCATCTATCTCATCTACTATTCAACAGACTGTATAAACCTGTAAACCCAAGACCATGATCTTCATGGCAACATTTCTGCACTCCTGTGAAATGAAAGAAAAAAACCCACAAACCCCACAAACCTAACCTGGATCACATAGGTCATTATTAGCACTGTAATTAATAGCTCAACAGGAATCTTTCTACTGATTTATCAGAGATCTGGGACAAGCCTCTCCTCTGACCACAGCCTGTATCACCCCAGAAGCCTCTCTAGGCCATCTCAGACTGGAAAACATGATGAGGTAGTTGGGAAGCATCCTGCTCTGTGGGATGCAGAATGTGAGTGTCCTTAGGGAAGCCCTGCCAGGGCAGATCAAGATGAAGGGCTTGCACGTACTCCCTTGTCTGTAGGAGTCTTGTGACAAACATCTGCAGTGCCTGTTAGAGCTGGATTGGACAGGCCACCCCTGGCTGGACTGCTCAGAAAGCTGGAGAAGTTCCTTGGCTACGGTCAGCAGGACATACCAGCTATTTTTCTTATATTTCTTGGTTTATTTTCACTGAACTTCTCTGCTAGCAGATCACATTTATTTACTTCTTGGCCAGAGGTGTCTGCTTGAACATGATTTGGATCCTGATATTTGGTACAGAAGACACTGAAATGTACAGTAACAGTTGGGAAATGCTAAGATGTAGACAGAAAGAAATTGGTGCTTTTAGCATTTTTAATTGCTAAAAAACCCACTAGAAAATCTTTGCCCCACTGTCACTTCAAGTGTCGACTCCAACATCAGCATCCACCTTTAAACCATTCACCTCTAAAGCACAGAGGTGCTGCAGAGGAGCACTAACACCACTCCCTGATGCCTCTAATTATGCAGAGGCTCTAATGAGGTGTGGCTGTGACAGGTGACACCAGCCAAGCCAAAGTTCCTGGCTCAGTTCAGGCATTGGTGTGACAGCAAAGGGACTGTGATGGACACGGAACACAAGTGTGCCTGGAGGCTTTCCTGCCACGGGCACAATCCTTTAGTACTCAAAGGAAACACGACTTTTCTGTGCAGGCATTTTTCTCTACCTACAGGGTTGTTCTCCCCCTGGGTTTCCTTACTGTTTTTAAAGCACTAAGTCCCTTCTTGAACAAGATGTACTGGAAAAGTCCTTGAATCACTGAACCCAAAAGTGGTTTAAAAGGCATACATTTCCACTCTATAGAGAGCAAATACAGACAAGTATGTTTAACTCACAAAGTCAAGTTCTACGGTCTAAAAATTAACTGTCTAAATTAATAAACGTTAAAATGCCTAAATCCTCCTTTTAGCATTACCCTGCCAGCAGAAGTTCAAGCAGTGATTCACCTGTTACCATTTGTAAGTGTTGTGGAAGAGCTCATCTTTTATCACTGATCAGCCCAGGGTGAATTTAGGACACTGAATTAGGGGGTTGACTCAGGTGTGCTTTTCTTACATAGCAGAAGAGAATATGTCAAAAATATGAGTTTGTAACAATGAAATGTTAACACATCCAGGATCGTATTTTAAAATTTCATATTTTAAAATTTCATATTTTAAAATTTCATACTTTAAAATTAATCATAACTTAAAATAAAAAACTGCCTTGGAAGAACCACAAGGATTAAAAGACAGAATCAAGCACTGAACAATGTTGTTGCATAGAAACTGCAGAGATTTCAAGGTTTCCCATCCCTCCTCCCATATTTTGCACTGCAGCAGAACAAACTCTGTTTGATTTTTTCCAAATACCTGTTTTAGAAGGCATTCTGACCTCTACAATCTAGAAGGGAAAGAGTGTGTGAACTTGGGACTTGAACATGAATTTACTTTATGGTAAAATCAGATCAAACCCACTGCCCCACAAGCACTGAACTGTGACAAAGCCCATGCTCATCTGTTCTACCTCTTTGGCAAAAAAATAAAAAAAAAAAATCAGTGATACTCATACATTTGGGGGACACACACACACCGACACAAAAATAAACCTTCAAACCCCATTGCAATCTAATCAGCTTTAGACTTAGGAGGAGAAGGAAGGGCAGTCTGCTGGAATCAATTCTGTTATTCGCCAAATAATTACCTGTAAGTAAATATTACTGTCCAATAGCATTATGTAACCACACTGACACAATTTTACAGCATCTGATAAAAGGAACTAAGGGTTCAGTCACATGGAAACATCTGGTTACTCCCACACATCTGCTTACAGCCATGTGCTGTAACCACACTAAATGCAGAGCAAATGAACAAACAGATGTGTAGGAATAAGTGTAGGATTGTAATTGTTCCTCTGCCAAAACTGCTGGAAAAGTACCACTTAGCCTTTTGGTAGGGTGGTTTTTCTGTTTGTTCGTTTGTTTTGGGGTTGCCAAGATTTTTTTGGAAGTAAGAGCAATATCAACAATTTCATTTATATTTTTTAGCCTTTCTTTCACTTTGACATTGTAATCCTCTCTAAGTGTACTTTCTAGAGCATGGGGCAGGAGGTTCTAAGTGACAGTCACTGTGTGCACTCCAGGGGTACAGGACCTTGACCAGTCAAGATAACAGCAAAGATTATTAACTGTAATGGGATCAATACAATCTATTACTGAAACATGGCACAATCCTCTAATGTAAGAATAAAGAAGTTTGCCCTTGGAATTGGTGGTTTCTTAGAGGTGCACTTATCCCACACAAATTCCTGACCCAAGCACACCAACCTGCTGAGGTCTGATTTTTTTGAATGATACTTTTCATCTGTGCTAAAAAACGGTTTTCCAAACCTCAGTCTAGAATTTTCCCAGAGAGACATCATAACAGAGTCACAGAATCATGGAATGGTTTGGGTTGGAAGGGACCTTAAAGATCATGTTCTTCCAAGCCCCTGCCATGGGATACAACCATACCCAAACCCAGTGTGCTCTATTCCTGCTACAGAAGGACCAGTGATTCTCCAAGATAACATCCTATACAGCTTCTAACACAGACAAATATGCCTTCTGAGTACTGAACTGCATTTTACTTTTATGATATTTATTGAGAATTTATATCAAAGTGACAAGTGTCTTCAGTTTCTTATATATTTAAGAAAAATGTACATTGCTCAGCACCGAAGAGTCAGTCCCAATGCATTTAATGATGTGCCATGAATGATGGCACAGTCCTTCCCAAGCTCTGCTCTTGGCATGCTGATGCTTTGTTTCCTTTTTTTTGAGTTCGAAAAATTTAGACATAAAATAATGAAAAAAAAATTGCCATCTCAGTGGCTGAAACAAAACCATGTAAAATGGAAAATTATTAAAAATACACTAAAAGAAGTTGTTACCTACCTCGCCATTAAAGAAGCAGAAAATCGTAGCCACCAGTAGACCCTGTAAAATAAAAATAAAGGTTCTGTTTTATTACGCATACCTATGGGATATTTCATGTGTGAGATAATTTCAGATAAAATTCAGATGTAGTCAGCAAAGACAAATCTAAATGTGGTGGTTTATTTCTGAAAATATGGGACCAGTTACCTACCATGACGTATCTTTAGGAATTTCCTCGAGGAAATTAATATTCGGTATGATGAGAAAATCAAAGTATTTTATAGGAATATCGCATTAAGGCCTTAAAAATTAAAACAACATGAACGTTTCTCCTTTATTTGCTTCGCATGCCAAGTGCTCCCTGGCTCAGGGGGTTGAGAGCCCTGTAACTCTCCCTACCTGGTAGTGCATGAGGATGTGCATCACGTAGTCATACACCTCCTCGGCGATCCGGCCCTCTGGTCGCCATGGAAACAGCACAAATTCGATGCCAAGGAGCGGAACAAGAATCAGGGTGGCTCTCACTGCTTTCATGTACAGGTTGGATTCGGCCTTGTGGGTGTCTTTGAGCTTGGTGATGAGGACACGAACGATGTTTAGCAGGAAGAAAAGGTTTACCTGTCGGAAAAGGAAATGGCACTGAGGGCAGTCTGAAAAATAAGCCCACGCACACTGATCTGGGAGACTAAAAACCAGACAAAAAACTCATACTGTATGATTGTGATTGTGCAAGAAACAGCAGTTGAACCTCTTTAAATCTCAGTCACCTTTTAAGTAACTAAGATGTGGCTCTACCGGTATCCACATCCGTTCCTCTAATTTACTAAACAAGTGTGCATCCAGATACCTACTGTCTATCAGTCCTAACAATCTACACATGTTTCTCTCTGGTCTCCCAGTAGCAGTGAAGGATTAGGGGTATTTTTGAATAATTGTTTCTTTTCAAGTTGGTCAAGAAAGAGGACGACACTCTTCCCTCCTTGCATTTAAACACGGTTCTTCAAAAAGCTACTTTCTATTTTTCAAATGTGGACTTGGCAAAATTATAGAAAAGAAAAAAATCAGAATGAAAAAATAAAATAAGTAAAAGACCAAATGCTGCTACAAGGAAGTGTGTATACTCCTCTAGACAAACAGGGGATTTAACATTCTCACAGTGGCCAGTGGTTGGATTTTTTATTCATTCAGCAGAACTTGCAAATGTGGCAAGCACTGAGATGGTGCCCTAAATATTCTCATGCACTACAGATTCTTAGATTATTTCCATAGCTAGTAAGGCTTTTCTTGTTAGAAGTGGTGACCAAAATAATAATCCCAAACTGAAATCACAGTTGTTCAGAGTAGATCTTTCAACATGTGAGTATTCACTGTAAGCAGCCACAAAACTAATACACACACGTACCTATATATGTATGTACACAGGCACACACAGAGCCAAAGGATGTGACTAGCCAGAGCAACAGCAGCAACAAGGGATGCTGACACTCAACTTTCACCTCCTGTGCAGTGCTGGCAGCCCCTGAGAGAAGCTGCAGCTGGAAGAGACCTGGAGAGCTCAGCCCAAGGGCACCGAGGCAGGACAGTGCTGCTTCAGGGACCCACTGCGGAAGGGAGAGACACAGAACCCAGTCCTATCTCAGCTTCCTGATAACTCTCTGTCCTTGTCTACAATAGAGACAAAGGGGAGGGAGGGAGGAAGAAGGGAGCAGACAGCCAGACAACTCCCTCCTAAACAGCCTCGGAATTCCTGGTCTAGGAGGAGGTCTCTGTCTTGCTGTAGGACAAATGCAAGCAGGGAAGCTTTTTCAGACCACATGTGCAATGATGCCTCCACAGCTCCAGCAGAATTCTTTATGTCAGATCAGGTTTTCAGAATAAACAGCTGTGTACTGTTATAGCAACATGGCCCTTGACAGATATGGGATGTTATTTATATTCTACTTGCATGCTATTTAAATCATTTTATCAGGAAATTGTTTTACATAGGAAACTACTGCATGAATTTCTCCTGGAAGCCTCCAGCTACCTTTAAGCTTTGTTTACACAACCAAGGTCTTCTGATTCTTTCTCAAGGGATTTATTTAGATTTTATGTAGCCCATCATCCCCATCCAACTTCCTATAGTACACACAGACAATAAGTCCTTCCTCCATTTCTAAATTTAATCCTTCTCAAATCTGCTTGTTCAACATCAACATGTATCAAACACTGAGTTTTCAGCCCCCTCGAGTTTTTGTAGCACGGCCAATTCCTCTAACACTGTCTTTGAATGCTAACTGAAGATGAAAGTTGCAGCAGCCAGGCATGAAACACCACTCAACAAGCTCTTTCTTTTACAACGTGGAATTTTTCTGTTTGCTTCACTTACCCACCAAACCCAAAAAACACAAAATTAAACATGCAGAGTTTGCAAATAGCTAAGAGGGCAAACAGAAAGCTGGATGAGGCAAAGCAGAGAACAGAGCTGAGAGCTGTCACTCACTGACACTCTGAGTGTCAGTAGAAGTATGCAGTATTTTTGATGTTTAGCTCTTCTGTCACAAAATAGAGTGAGATTGGGATGAACTGAATTCCTAATTGAAGTGATGAAAACAGGTCCTGATTTCAGCAAGGCAGCGAGTAGATTTTTACACTTAAGCAAAAGTAGGCCAGTGGAACTACTGGCAAGCATATGATCATCAAATTGACTGTGATGGTTTGGAAAAGCCCAAAGGAGCCCTGTAGTGCTGGCTGCAGTGTGAGCACAGAGCAGCACAGCGTCAGCTCTGCCGTGTCCTGAAAACTGAACCGGGCAAGTGAACAAAAATGGAAACAAAGGTAGAGAAGGCAATCCAAGCTACAAAATTGTTGGTCCCTATATTGGAGATTTAGTAGCATTTAGATTCTGCCTTTGAGAGTGGCTGTGAACTTAGCTGAGCTTTTAGGTGCTGCAGTTCTTGAATTAAACTCTCCCCATCTCCCAGATATTTCTACTTCTCTCCATGTTGAGTTTGCATTAAGCAGCATGGCAATCCTTATTAGCACAGAGGTTTAAATTCTGTTTAAATTCCTCCTTAGCTTGATATAAACAGACCATGCTCAGCTCAAGGCACTGAGATAATGGCTGGTGGCCACTGCTGGGCTTCAATGCAGTTCTGCAGCTTCAGATCCTGACTTGCTTGGGCACAACACCTGTATGTGCTCATGAAGACATGTCTTACAGCTGGTCTGGGGACATTCCCAAGGCCAGGTATATGAGTGCTGAGCATTAAACTTCTAAACTCCTAAGCCTTGCACTGTGTCCAGCTTAGAGTCATTAAATACAAGGACATTAAAAACAAAGCTTGGACCTCCTGAACTGCCTTCTAGCACACGTTCACTCAGAACTTGCTCAAAGAACTTGCATCTCTAAAAGCCTGTCCGACTAAGACACCAATGCATAACATTATTATTGGGAGAAATAAACATCCCTGTAGCATTATTTATACAAATAATGGCATAAATAAATAAAAGACTCTTTCAGTGGCATCAGTGCAAATGAAATTGCTTGTGCATTGGCACATCTGAAGTCTCTACACTGAAATCACTCCTGCTTTCACTAAAATGCAAACCCATTCCTTTTCATACCCCCCCCCCTCAATTTTGGTCAATATTTGTCTAGCATGAAAACTAACATCACCCTCTACTGTTTTGTTCCCACACTGCTCCTTTAATTGTGGTTGCTTGGGCAAAGAGTTGTAATTTAACGGTCAACTGAAGAGAATTCCAATCAAAGTGCAACCTATGTCTGCTCCCATTTCCTGTTTCTTTGGCAGGGATCTGACCACAGTTATGTAATAGCAGGGACCATAAAAGCAGCGTTGTTGTTAACTTTCTGTAACTGTAGGATTTTCAGCGATGTGCAGGAGTTAAATTCCCATTGGCTTCTGCCAATTCTCCCTGGCACCCACTTGACAGTCCCCTCCATGTTCTTTGAGATCTTACTCCTGAAAATAGAAACAGTGTCTTCTGCCTCGTTATCTAATTTGCAGTTTAATATTGTTGCTTAAATGTCTACTAAAGCAGGTCATGCTTAGTAAAGTGTGGAAATTGTATCTGGCAAGCAAGCTACTTAAGCAAATGAGGGTTCTGTTCACAAAGCCTAAACACATGCATTTAATCTAACATCTTTATCCCTGCCTTGTCTTTTCTGAATTGACATACTACATTTTTTTGTTTCCAGAAAGGAAAGCAACTCCTTTAAAGTACTTTCACATCACGGGCAAGATGTGCAGTTGTGTTCAGTCTCTGTTATTCCTACATGATTTTCAAACAAATTTACTGACTGCACCGAGGCAAGAAAAATACAAGAGAAACACCTTTGGTCAGCTCATTAAAAATATAAGAATATCAAAGGTGTACATAATTGTAAATTGCAAAGAGAATGGACAAAGACACTGCCCAAACCAACTGCACAGAGACAATTATTATGCCCCCAGTAAAATCAAAGAACATTCCTAGTGTTGCCTTGAACGGAAAGAAGACTTGATCCTTTGGGACAGATCCAGTGCATTTGAAGCCTGTAGGATTCTGGCCACTTGCAGTGTGATTTTGTGGAGGCCACTGCTTGGAAGGATAAAATGATCTTTCATCTTAAAATGAGGTCACTGCATGGAAAATTAGTACAGTCTTATAGCTTTTACACATTTTTTTACGTTGTTATTTAAAGCAATTCTGACTAATTATTCTGACTAATACAAATTACAGTTCAGCTTTGAAGAGCTTTACTTAAGTGGTATATCTATGAAGAGACACCTGAACAATACAAGTGACAAGCCACAAAAACCCCCCTATACCTTTCTGTGAAAACAAGGTTTCATCTTTTGTTGGAATAAAAAAAATTGAAAGGATTCAGAACTGGGTTTAAGTTTACAGATCAGAGCACAGCAGATTAGTTAGTGTCCTTACATGAAGATACATGGCAGACCTGACTGGCAGGACAAGAGATTATCAGCAATAATTCACACCCCAAGGGCCAGAGATCTCAGTAATGTCATGGGGATTGCCTCTGACTTCCCATGCAGAGGGTCTCAGGTGTGTCATGGTATCATCACAGCCTTCAAAATGCAGGTTCATTAGTTAATTTTACTGTGAATGAAAAAGGGAGTCAGAAGAACCACGGGATTTACACAATGGCCTTCTGAGAGAACTCTCTCTGCACAGAATGCTCTCTACAAATATTCATTAACAATTCAATGTAAGAGGAAGCTCACGTAGATCAGATCAGGAAATTGTTTTCAAAAGTTACTTAAGGCTTTAATTCTTCATGAAATCTCCTTGAATGAACTGAAAAGCTGTGATAAAATCAGCAGACATGTACACAGTAGTTTTGCCAGATCAGCTTGAAGTTTCTGTTACAATAAAATAAATGACTGTCATACACAGTCCGTGGCTAATTCCAGTCACATACAGAATGTCTCCATGCTGCAGCATTCCTTGCATTATGCATCCATGGACATTAATTACATGGATAGCTGTGTAAGTAGGCACCTATTTCTAAGAAGCAACAATCTACTGACTGAATTTCACAGGTTAAATCCAGTCCTAGTATAACTGAAGCACAACATTGATTTTTATGCGGTAACGTCCTCAGTGGCAAACATTTAACAGAGCTGGCATTGACTTGGAGTGTGAGACAGAGCTCTGCACTCCAAGGGTTCACGAGGGCCACAGAAGCAGAGGAGCTGCAATACCCCAGTGGCCAGAGCACACATTGCCAGATTAGTGCCAGAACAGGGGCAGTCACAGGCACCTGCAGAACTATCTGCACTGGTTCTCTCCCAGGGACCTGTTCTAATTTCTTTCCATCCCGTATTCCCACGCACAGCCAGGCCTGGCTTTCAAGAGCCCTCCTCTTCCTGAACCTCAGGGAGCTCCAGTCCAGGAGCTGTTTGGCCACAGCACAGTGACACAAAGAGTAGGCTCAGCCTGGCAATCACTCTGGGCACAAGAAAGCATTCTCAGTTAAAGGAAGGATTTGAAAGTGCCCTCCAGTACTCCAGGTAATATTGAGTCCTTCCTAGTCAGCAGCATTTAAGTGGAATGATAATCAACGTTGCAAAACCTCAGTTTCTTTGAAGACCAGAGGTACAGCTCCTTGACAGGGCCAAGATTTCTTGGATCTTCTGTGTCTAAGGCACCTACTGGGTTAAATGGGAGACCCACGAAAGACAGTGGCCTCTAAATGTTGGCTTCAGGCTCTTACCAACTTCCCAAGCCCATCAAGAGCAGCCAGAAAACAAATAGGAAAAAAACCAAAATATCATCCGAAAAATGCTTACCAGCAGAGCAGCACAAATAGGGCCGTGGATGATGTACAGCAGATGAGTATCAGAGCTGATCCAACAACTAGAGAAAACAAACAGGAAAAGAAAAAAAAAAGAGTTGGCATTATTATCTTTGTATTCCTTTCCTTTTTTTCCCTCCTCTTTAAAGAAACTATAAATGTTTTGCAAAGCAAGTTGAAATGCTACTTACTTGTCATTATAATATAATGTTCTAGCAACAGCATGTATGCAGGCAGGGATCAATGGGAAACCTGGGAAGAAAAAACAATATTTTCTTCATGAGAAAACCTGGTTTATAACTAAGTAAACTTGGGTATCTTGCAGGAAACTTCTGTATTTTTACCTAATCCAAACTATATACCTGCAGAGCAAATAAACTAACAGGGAGCAATTTAGTTTTCCTTTTCTTAGATTTCTTTCTGAGGAGTGTGCGAAACCTTATTCCCATTGACTTGACAGAAAATCCATACCAACACACAGAAAGAAAAAGCAAATCAGATTATAACTTTTTAGAATGCAACAATTGACCTTCATTAGCACAGATTCTTTTCAGGTTGCAGTCTGCAATAATGCCAAATAGGCAGGTAATATTAAAATGGTAATTGTGTATATGATCACAGTTTTAACAGTATGGTTAGCAATGTTGGTCATACCTCACTGGTGTGAGGACAAGTCACGAATATCTTGCTGGGTATTCAAAAAAGAAATTTGAGATTAGGCTCAGGGAATCAGGCTGAATTAAAAAATTTAAAATCAGTTATCTAATAAATAAAATCGACGCTGTGGTGGTACCTCATCTTCAGAAACTGCTGAGCACCTGTGAGCCCTCAGCCATGGCTGCAGCAGGGCAGCAGTGACCCAGGGACCGAGTCATGTTGTAGCTGAGTGTGCCAATGCACCGAGGATGAGGAGAGAGCCCTCACTTTGTGAATGAGCTGTTGTGCACTGTCTGAAGTGACCAGGTCTGGCCTGTTGGTTTTGATACCGATGCCTCTTGAGATCTTCGGCTACAGCTGTCCTGTGTTTGCTCAGTGAACAATACAGGTCAAATGGAACTGCTGGAAAAATAAATCTTTGGCCATCCCTAGCTCAGTTCTGACCCTCCACCCTAGACATGGTGAGACTTCTCTGAAAACAAACATTCATTCCTGAATAAACATCTTCGAGATGAGGAACAATGAATAATTACTTCTTAATGTCTTTTTTATAATAGGAGACTATTTTCTCTATACAAAGGAGGAGTCACTTCCTGACTCCAGAAATGCATTATCTCTCTTTTAAGCAAAGACAGAAGTACATACAACTTCCTACTTAATATCTCTGAGCTTGTTAAAACACCCCAGACAAAGAGCAGGGGTGTGGCACCCTCATTCAAAGCTTTCAGCTCAGAGGAGCAAAGGTACAGATGTTCAAAGGAGGAAGAGACTGCAGTGGTCTGAAAATAGAGAATGAGAAATCACATACCCCAGCCAAGAAGGTAATACCACATCAAGTGCTGTTTCTCAGCAAAAACAGCCACCACGATAAGAGTGTGCAGGTAAATGCCTTCACACAGCATCCAAAAGTAGTTGCAACCCATCAGGTACAGGTAGATGAACTGTGACACTTTGCAACTAATCTGTAGGAGGAGGGAAAAAAAAAAAAGGCAGAGTATAATATAAATTTTTAATTTGCAAAAAATCTCAGAGCTTTATTTGCCAAGTGGAAAGAGTCCAATGTTAATATTTATTCTGTTTCTCACTAAAATTACATATTTGTTTACTTTTTAAAATATAATTTTTGTGGAATTACAATTCCATACTTTATGATGACAGAAAACTTTATAACTGAGTCTGTTTTTCAGCTATTGACACAAGAGGACCTTGACATCCTCAAGCACAGCAGAAAGCTGTAATGATATTTTTCCCTATTGCAAACCTTGCCACACTTGACCATTCCAAATCCTTAAATTGTCTGATGATAACCACACAAGAAAATGTATTTGATGTGGGTAATCCCCTCTCAGTCTTACCAATCACAACATATAACCACTCCAGAGAACAATTTATGGTTTTAGGACGCTTACAAGACTTGCAATTTTAACCCACTCATAACTGCACTTTGGTCCCATTGCAGGTTCTGAAGGAACCTGGCATTTATTTGTATTTAGCACCCTTCAAAATATATTCTACAATTCAAATGTTATAAAACAATTTACTGTGAAGTCTAAAATGTGAGGTTGTGAAAAAGCAGCAACAGTTAACTTGTAGATTTGGTCACAGCACATTCTTTTTTTCCTCCTTCTGAAATTGCTGTCTGATTGTTCTATTTTTGGCACTTGGATTAAAAAAAAACCCAAAATCAATATTGTTATACCATTTTCTGCTACCTAACTCACTTGATGATGATTATTAACTGCTATCTCAAGTATGTTTTCCACTACATTGATGACAGCTTCCACAGGACAAAGAGAAAAATCATCCTTTTACTTGATTCAGCTTCTGGAGTTTTGCCCTAACTTTCACAGAATTTAAATCTTTCTTCCAGCTCTAAATAAAAACAAAACCAGAGCTAGGGATTTGTTTGTTTCTGTATTTCATCTTCAGGCTTTCCTGTTGCTATAGCTCCTAGACTTTTGGGAGAGGCTACTGATTCACACTCACCCCGGTATTATCAGGAAATGAAAGTCAGAGAAATCAGACCCAAAGGGAAGGTTCTGGTTGGATTTTTTTTTTTTTTATTTTGCTTTTTACTTTTGGTATATAAGGGTCATCTTTAACTTGGCCATCTTCAGTTGAAATGAAAACAACTGAATTTTTTTTGGGCGAAAGGAGGTACAGCCATCGGAAGGCAGCTGACAGATCCAAAATACCTTGCAAAGCATTTTTTTACTGCCCTTCCTTGGTGAATTCAGCTGCCAGCCTCACGGACATCATCCAGAACAGGCTCCTCTCCTGCAGTTGTTTCAGTGCAAAAGCAGTTCTGTGGAGCCAGGAAGAGGAGTTCAGTTTCCTGAGCTTCTCAGAGCATCGTTACTGTTTCACAACCTCGAATGTGAAGAGCCCAAATCTCTGTGAGACATCTGTTGTCCCACATCACACAGACACAGAACGTTTGCACCTCATCACAGGCAACTGCTCAGGTCTCATCTCTCCTGTGCTGCTGGAATTATTCCCGTGCAGATAAGAGGTGCCAAATACACTTTCACTTACTGGATTCGTGGCAACCAACTCCTGGTTGTTGGCAACCGCCGTCAGCGAAATTATTGTTACAACAGAGTTGCAAACAAAGGAGAAAAACAGATTTTTGTGCAGGGTAATCCTTTGGCAACTCAAGCTCCTAGAAAAGGGAAACAAGAAGAGATGAGCACGTGGGAGGACAGTTGTGTGTACTTGGGGACAACTTGGACATTTTGAAATGCTAGAGAGCTCTTTATTTCACTGACAGGTCTTGCATCTACCCTTCAGGCTCAGACCAAGTGTAATACAACGATGTGAAAGGTACCACCTTTCCCTAAACACCAACAAGAGGAAAGCAAGTACATTTAGTTCCGTTATGTTTACAGGGGAGGACCTGCTTTATAGTGGCCAGCTAAAAAAAATCTGAATACTGATAATATAACAATTTTCAGAAGATTTACACCTTTTTTTTCGTTAGTACCTGAAGAATTTCCCAATTACCTATCACACCTGAGTGTGAAGAAGTTGTCTTACCCTATATTTCCATTTACCCAAACCTGTTAAATTTTTTGAGGATAATTCCCTTTTACTCATATTCTTGTAATTTTTTCTTCCCTAATCCTATAGCTAGAGAAATAGCCAAATAAATAAAATAACACAAATCTCATCATGACTTTTGTGTATAACTAAGTTATAGACAGTACACAAGATACAATTATAAAATTCCTATATAACTGCATTTGATTGTGTTAATTTTCAAGGTTTGCTTTTAAACTTGCAGTAAAATTAAAGAGAAAATATCTTTGGAAAGGCTTTTTTTTTTTTTTTAATCAGAGGTTCAATAGCATTAAAGAATACTAGAAATCAAGCAGGCTTGCAGCAAATTTCTTTTTCTCTGCCACTACAGAGGAAGCAGGTCTAAGTTAGTGCTATTCCAAGAGGCATGACTGCTTCCCATTCAAGGTTTTCCAATTAAAATCAGCTTTACAGGCAACCCCAAAAGAAGACAAAAAGCTTTAACTGTTAATCCTTAAAATCCCCAAAAGAAGCAAGTAACATCCATTTTGTTATGAGAGCAGACGATGGGTAAAAACGATCTCTTTAATCAGAAATACATTGACAAGGTCAGCAGGGGACAAGGCTGAACTGTCACACAAGCAGGGGAAAAATAAAAATCAAGTTTTTTAGCCTTTTCAAAGAGCATGTCTGGAAGAAAAGATAAAGTAGGGACGTCAGTGATTCATTTGTAATTGGGGAGGGTAGGAGGGAGAAGATCTTTATGTTTTAACAGAAAAACGCAGATATGGAATAGTCACAAAGGCTGGAGGAGTCTATGGAAAACCGCTGAGAATGTGACATAAAATACATTTAAGGGATAAAATATGAAAAAGATTTCATTTTAGTCTTTTGTTTTAATGCCCCCAAATGCATAAACTTAGACTGTCGTAATAAGGGGTTTTTTTATGTTGTTTGAAAATGTATATTTATATTTTTTTCTCCTGTACGGTTTATACACGAAAAGGGAGACAATGGTAGATTCCAGTGGAGGGCCTCGTGTAAACATGTCCTGGAGAACTCTGGAATTCTGTCTGCTTATTGTTACAGGACTCAAGGCACAGGCAAGGAAGAGCACGTACAGCTAATGGGGCCATCTCTGGGGTCATCCAGCAGCTGTTCCTGTTGAATATTCAAACACACCCATCCACACCCACCTCCACCCAGGCATAAAAGGATTGAAAGGATCACCGGACATGAAATAAGAAAGCAAGACTGATGACATTTAAAAACTGAGACTGCTCTTGGTAATAAAAGGATTTTTCCTAAGCCTCCCCACCCTCCCTCTTCTGTTATCCTTCCTATAGTACTTTTTCTGGCTGTTTTTCTTAACGATGTAATACCCTTTAATCACTTGATTCTTGTATTTATGATCTAAGGATGTTTGAATGACCAACCCCAGGATTAAACCATGTATAGTAAAATAAAAACAGACCTCCTGCTAAATTACCTATTTCTCTTCCTATTTTGAGTCCTGCATGACTTGGACATTAGGAGAAAATTAATTTCTCCAATAATATTTCCCCAAAAGAAAAACAGTGACAATTTCAAAAGCCCCTAAATGGGTTTGAGATCTAAGTTTTTAAGGTATTCCAGTACTGCAAAATTCAACCAGTGAGATCCACATATGCACTGAAGGGGAATTATCCATTTAGGTGAAACTAAAGTGACTTAGGAACCTCCTGTCTCCCTAACAATCTATCAATCAGTGGTTTGCCTACTCTTCCTTTAAGCACAGCGTTGTTATCCTCTGTCATGGGATTTGACATGACACTTGGGGCTTTTTTATTTGGGTTGGTGTGGGGGCATCTTTCAAATTGTAGCTCCCTTTTCTCCTAAATCACTGCTTTTTTAAAGTCTTCTCTTGCCCTGTTTCTCTTTCTTTATGAAAACCACAAAACTATTTTAACAGAAGGTTTTTAACAAACACATGTATGATCTAAAGTGTGTAACAGAAAGAGAGAGCAGAGACACTGCAAGAAGTTATTTTTATGTCTCACTGGTGAATTCTCAGAGAAGATCAGAATTCCAAGTTAGTGGCCCATTGGATGCCATTAAACCAAGAACTCCAATGCACTTGGACAAGACAAGTCACAGACTGGACAAGGATTTGCAATGAGACAATTTTCTGAAGAAAAAGAAACCCCAAAATTTCAAATGCAAACAGAAAATACAGAAAAATTTTAATCCTATAGAAGATAACTCAAAACACAAATAGTTGTTATTTGGAAAAAAGAGCCTTTTTTCTCATGGAGAAAAGTGCCAAATTTTTAGTCAAGCCTCAAGATATTGTCATGATCATCAATCCAGCAAAGGTTGTCTGGAAACTGTTAGTCAACTAACAGAATAAATTTTTTGGAAATGACAAAATCAAAGGCACCTTCCACAATAGCAAAAAAAAAAAAAAAAAAAGTCCACCTGTTAAAGCTATGAATAATTACACAAGCTTTAGCTGATACATAATACATCCTGGTATTAATCTAGGTCCTTAAATACCCTCCTGGTACTAAAAATACTTCAGAGGAACTGTACATCCCAAGAGAACAGCTTGCAGAGGACTTTTCTTTAGCTTCCTTTAAATTTTGTAATTTCCTTTTATATCCCAACATGACCACAGCGAAGAAGATGTGGTTTGTGGGTCTGGATTAATTCCACGAGGTTCTCTGAGGAAAGATGATCCTTCTGCCAGAGGGAGGAAGAAAAATCCCTGGATGGTTAGACAAACCTGACATATTATGTCAGATCACCTGTTTTTGCAGTAAGTGCCACAAGTCAAGATAAAATTACCTCGGTTTTCATATTATACTCCAGAATAATCATGCTTGACTGTCTCTGAGATTATAAAATTAAATCCTATTCCAAATTTTTTTGTTCTCCCCTAAGAAATCTGTCAAAGCATTTTCCCCATCGCGTTAGATATTTAGTCTGCTAAACTTTGTGTGACATTCATTGTAACAGCATAGACCTTTTTTATGCAAAATCAAACTTCTTATAAGGATCCAGAGCCATTTCACATGTTGATATTTTGGAAGGAAAGCGAACTTGGAAATGGTAAATGTTGCTCTAAGAGGTCATATGCAAATAAATTCATTAAAAGCCAAATATTCGGGTTTTCCTCATGAAAGGAGAGCAGAAAAAGCTGAAAAGTCATCTTGAATACTGGATTTCATAAAGGGAGGCTACAAAGGCCCTGAGATTAGCTCAGTTGGTTACTAATTACTCCAGAGTTGTGGGTTTGATCCACCATATGGGCCATTCACTTAAGATCCTTGTGGGTCCCTTCAACCCAGGATATTCTGTGATTCTGTGAAGCTGAAACATTCTGGTTTGTTGGGGGATTTGTGGGAGCGTTGTGGAAACCCGGAGAAATAACGCACAGCTAAACTGGAAACACTATTTTCCACCAGATGGGACTAAAACCGATAATTGTTTTTATCAGATATCATCTGCCCCCACCCAATCAGAGTCCACAGCACGAGAAAAGCAGAACCAGTGGCCAGTGTATGTGCTATTCATATTGAAATGTTAGGAGGAAATTAAAGATGGAGTGAGACAGCAGGGCACAGAGGTAAGAAACAGTCAGGGCTGAAGAGCAGATGTGCATTATCCAGTGAGAAAAAAAGGAGGAATGATTAAACTGGAGCCAGCTAACAAGGGGAGCCCACACTGTGCCCTGCAGCAGCTGGCAGAGGGAACAGCTTGTCCCTCCCAGCTCTGCTCATGTGGCATCACTCCTGGTTTTCACCTTTCTGCTAAGCCTCTTGAAAGGCTCTTAAAGAAAAAACAAAGACAAGGAGTCTTTTCACAGGTTAAGAAAAGTAAGTTCACAAAATATGATGTAATAACACTAATTTTAAAAGACATTATATTGTGAGCTGTTGTGACAGTGGTGATACACTGCTCAAAGTTTCTTTCAAGGAAATAATACTGTAATACATAATAACTGTTGATGGATGACATGCCTGTCATACACATAATGGAGTGAATAAAAGAAGGGATTATATTTATTATTCCCACTTCTACCGTAGCTCTTAGCCTTACTTTCCTTACAGTTTGCCATATTTGTGAGTACCCACTTTGGAATGTTACTGTATGTATCACGTGTCATCAGTATTTTGGTTTCCACTTGCTCTTTAGTTTGGCAGATGCTTGGCACGACACAGAATTGTAGAAAATCCTGAGTTGGAAGGAACCCACAAGGACCATTGAGCCCAATTCCTAAAATCCACACTGTAATTTTATCACTAAAATAACCCGAACATCACACCCCCCAAAAACAAACAAACATTTTCCCATGCCCTATTTTCAATATATTCTACAGTTTTTGGTTTGCAGGATTTTAATTTTAGCTTTCTTTTTAATTTTGGCTTTCTTCACCTCCTTGCTCAACCTAATTTCATTTGGATGGCTGGTGGTTGGAAGTATTGAAAGCAGGGTTGTGATATTTGATAAAGGATCTTAAATATACTTACTTAAAGTAAAAGAATATGCCAAGAGAAATCAGAAGTGATGCAATGGAGAGACCGTGTCCAATGATGGCCAAGTAATACAAGTTCAGAGCCGTCTGCAACACAAGAACAAAGCCAAGCACTTGTGATTCATGCAGAGCTATTCTGGATGAAGCACATATTTATACATCATTTCAGCACATAAAATGACTGTAACAGCATAAAAAAAAAGAAAAACGTTTCAGATAATGATAAGACAAGTCCAGAATCCTGCAAAACATCATCTTACTAAACCCCCTGTCTGTAGGAAACACAAATGGTTAATTGGAATCATCACTGGAATGTTCCTTTACCAGTTAAAACACCAGGTTTCTAATGTATCCTGCTATGGGATTTTATGAGTGTTCATATAAATCTGACTATTTAAGCTACTGCACTGGGTGCCTTCCTGTCTGAGGTTTGATTCTTTTAGTAAGACAGCTCCTAAGTAAAACGTGCCCCCCAAAGGAATTTACATTTTTTTTCCCCTGACAGGAGGTTTTTTCCTTATCATTCAAAGATACTTTCTTTAAAGAAAGCCGTGAATATGATATTGGAAATTCAGTTCTCATTCAGCTTGTGAAAAATTAACAACTCAAAACCAGTGAAGGCTGAACAGACTCGTTAAATAAGCCTACAGCCAAATTATAGAATCCTGAAAATCTGGCCAGATAAAAAAAGATTAAAAAGGAACTGGCAAATTAATATTTGCAACAAGTTAATGTTATCATTAATTCTTTTAGTCAATAAATAAATTAAATAATAATTAATAAATTATAATAAAAAATAATAAACCTCTGCTTTCAGTTATGGAATCTGTCTCACAAAATCTCTCTTGTTGCATTAAATGTAAGATTATCATTTGGCAAACCAGGAAATGAAGATTTATAGGTTAAGCTTTATATTCTCACAATAAAGCATAACTATCTGGATTCTGTAGGGAGAATTATAGCATGCATAGAAATGCTCACATACTGCAAACTCCTTGTATCCCTTGAACTTATTATTTCAACTTAAGACAGACTAACAGCTTGTTATATATATGGACTTCTGAAATAATATAAAAAGATTCCAGGTGAAGCTTTAAGTAGATTGTAAGATGACAACCTGTATACGTGACAACCATGTATACATGCTACAAATTTTCAAATTGTCATTACTCCTAAAAATGAGATAACTTCTTTTTTTTAAAAAAAAAAAGAAAAAAGAAGAAACAATGCAAGAGGTATAATTGAAACTTCCATAAAAATTTGCAAGAGAGAAAAAACATACTAAAGTTTGGGCTGCATAAATGACAACAGCCCTTTTATGACAGGTTCCTACCCCACATCACCACTTCATTCAGTGACCAGTTTAGCCAAAGGTGCAGGTTAAGGATTTAGGGGAGTTCTGCACAATTTAGAGCTGTGGTAGAGCAGAGACTGCTGCTGAGGGCAGTAACAGTAAGAGCTGAACAATGCCCAGCAGTCAGATTTATTGTGCAACCTCTCACCCGCCTTCTGAGCAGAGTGAAGAGATAATGCTGCTTAATATAACAACATATTGAATTGTAGCAAGCAGTGAGGTTTTGTTCAGAGCTATTATTCCACTCTAACAATAGCTTCTGATGTGGGACAGAGTTGGAATATGCAGGCAAAACAGCCTGAGGGAAAACACCTCATTATTCATAAAGAAGGACCTTCAGAGATCTGCTCCCGTCTGAATAAAATCCTCGGTTCCCAGCCAAATGTTAGCAAGAATCAGTGAATATAGCAATTCTGCTAATAGAATTAAACTGCCCTTAGTGAACTCAAGGTCTCATGATTTGAGGAAAAGCAATAAAAAACTGTCTTATTATCATCTGTTACCACCTTTTGCTCAATATGGTTTCTAGGTAAATGCCCTAAAGGATTCAACAACAATGATACAGGATGTTAGAATCTCTATTACATGTCAGATTTCTTGATACAATCTGCTGCTATTGAGCCATTTCCCATGAGGCCCAAATTAATTTGCAGACTACCCTGATATGTATTTTAAATTCCTAGTTCTTGGGCATTTACAGTTTCAATTTACTGCTTCTTCCCATGACTGACTGTTTGATAAACATAAAGAATATTAGTGGAAATACAGTTGGGGGAGGCAAAATATGCAATTTTGCCCATTGTATCCTCACATATCACAAAGTAGTTAAAAAAGAGCTCATTTGGAGATAGTTTTTTTCTTTTTCTACATTATCTTGAAGATAAGCTGAAGTATATAAAAATAGCATCTATACATATTCCCATATGTGTGTGTGTGTGTGTGTGTGTGTGTGTGTAGAGTCTATCTTTGATATATAGAAAACAACTCAAAGCATTTTGCTGCCTGACCTTTTTTTGCTGCCTGATAATTTTGGATGCTTGCAAAATTTCATGGAAATAAATTCAAAGTACAAACTTTTTATAAATGCATATAAAAAATAAATATAAATATAAAATATAAAAGAGTATAAATAAACTCTTCTATTCATGTGGGTAGCTTAATATCTCAGAAACCAAAAAAAAAAGGCATTTGGGAGTCAGGCCACGAAGGAAAAGGAGCACAGGGTAAGAGAGACCCTATCTAACAGTTCTCATAATTTAGTTCCCTTTGGTCTTCAAAGATCCTGTGGTGAATCTACTCAATTACAGCTTGCCTATAAAAACAGATAGATTAGGTCTGCTTTTCACACTGGGAAAAAAAAAAAATCTAAACCCCCAACATCTGAACTCTGCTGAAAGATGCCTTGAAGATGTATTAATTAATCCCAAGTAAAAACTCTGGCTGTGCACCTGCTGAAAATCTGTCCCTTCGTTCACTGCATAAACCCACGTTCTCAGCATGGAGATGGACAAACCTCCCACAGCTCTGCTCAGCTTGGACCCTACCTGGAAATTCCAGAGCAAAACACAAAGGTCTGCTCTTACAAGGTACACACTTCACTCACCAGTAGACGACTGTGGATGGCCTAGACAAGTACTACACATTTAAAATACCCACGAACAAAAAATACTATCATGTTATTTAAGCAGTTGAAATCAGCTGTATAAGACAAAGCAGGTAGATTGGGTTGTTCTGAGTCTGTTTTGCACAATTCAGCCTTTTTGTTCAACATCCTTTCTTCTTTTTGTAATCTGGAGCTGCGTCAACTCTGCTGCTGCTCGAGTTTTGACGCTTGTGAAATTTTTTCTTGACACTGGTAACATGCATTTTATTCCTTTCCTACCTTCACTTTTTCGTGTGTGTAGCTGTTACACTGGGTATAGTTTGTCCACGTCCTGTTGCTTTCGGGGTGTCTAAACCAATTCCCATTTGGATCACAGATCTTCGTAACTTTTTCTGCAATCGAAGTCGAGGGAACGAAAAACAAAAGAAGAAAAACGAAAGAAAAACGCAACAGTCAGCACTGAAGTTCTATTTCCTGATGCCAAGTATTTAATAAAGATTGGCAAACAAATGACAGCTTTATTAATATGACTAGAGAGACTTTGCTTGTTACCATGAATTCTGAGAAACTAGAGGCTGTTGCTTTCGCTTGGCAAGAGCAAATGATGATGTGATTTTGCTTAAGAAAACAAATAGATTTTCCTCCTCCAATCCAGTAAGTATCAAAATATATTGAACTAACTGTTAGAGAACTACCAGATGAAGTGACAGGACTATTTAAATGGTTTGTTTAACATCCAAGATCTAAACTGAAGTTTGACATCCTGTAAATTAGGATTGGACAGACAGGAAAACAGCAATAGGAAAACTGCTCAAGAACCAAACTGGAAATTTTCTGGAACCACAATAATTTTTATCATCAAATAGAAAGAGGCATGAGAGGACCCTGGGAAATACAAAATGAGCAGAAAGGGATATGACTATAAATGTGACATTTTTCACATGCTCACAAAGTTTAACCCACAGAAACAGGAAATGATTCAAAGTGGGAGAAATTCTTTGTCGACTTCAACTGCAAAACTGAGGTAAAAGAGTAAGTCCTATTTCTGCTTGTCTGTCAGAGAGAAAAGATTTTCTGAGGGAAAAGCTCATCTCTAAGAGCTAAAAAGTATGATCTCATTTCAGTTCCTACTCCCTAATCTACAGAATTCCTCCAGGACATAGGTCGGAAAAGAAAATAAGTAGCTGTTAGTTTTCTATGCGATAAAAGGAAGATGCAAATATGGGTCTTGAGTTTCTGAAATTCTGGAGCATTAAAGACTTGAGTGGGGCAAATGAGAGACATCAAGCACCCAAACCCTCATTTCATTGAGAAATAAGTTGATGTAGAAGTCAATGCACACTTACCTGATGGGTTGAAATCCTGAAAGTAGTCAGGACAGCGCTGCACTGACACAGTTCCAGCAGCAACATCACTCCAGCACAACCAGCCATCCCATGTCCTGTTACAGTAGGGACCTGCAAACAAGTAGAGACCTGGTAATAAAATAACAACCCTTCTTTCATAATGGTCTTCTGAAAGTAGAGACTGGATAATGCGAGTTTGCAGCAGTGAGAAAAAAAAAAAAACAAAAAAATGAAACAGAAAAATAAGATTTAACAGTAGTTGATTAAAACTCCACTTAATAGAGGTAGTTCCTTATACATACATTTCTTCAAAAATGTTTTAAAATTCAATCTCATTCTACATCCGTAATTTATAAACTTCTGATCTAGAACACAGCGGGCAAAAAACCCTGAATCAATTCATAGTTAATGATGTCCCTTAGCAAAGAGCCTTACGCTTTCAAAGACCATTTTACTGAATGGCTTTATATCTGGATGTGTACCAAGCCTATAAATATGTTTTCTAGTCCATTAAAAACGTAGAGGTGTCCCAGAAGCCTTGAGAAAGCCTGGCTGGGAGGCAGGCACAGCTCTTCTGCCTCAGGCTGGGCTGAGCCTGCAGCAATCCCTGGGCAGACACCCCTGTAAGTGCTCCAGGAACTGGGAATCCACAGTGTCCCTCAAGAGCCCGTTCCAGTGCCTCACTGCACTCACACGAATCTCAACATCTAAAATAAACTTCCCTTGAGAACGGGCCGGGGTTTAATAAACAAATCCTTTCCCAAAAGGCACACAGAAGAGTGACTGACCATCTCTACAAATCTGAAGATGTTTTCAGTGCCTTGCTTTGGTTTCCTTTTAAAGGCTTAATAATGTCCTCGTTTCAAAGGCTGCAGTTTTCAAGCATCTTGTAATTCCTCCTCATCTGAGGGTTTTCCATTTTGTTCCAGACCCTTCTGAAGAGGCCCCAAGCTGGACATAAACTTACACTGTCATTCATACACTTGTATTCATTTCGGACCTCCAGGCATTCAGTTCCTCCAAAGAATCATTTCAGAAGAGGAAAATCTCTTTGTAGAAGAACATAATTACCCTTTTCTTGCCATTCAGTGTTTCCAGGAGTTATCAAGTGAGAACCAGTGAATACAGTGAGAGGCAGAATCACTGAGGTCAGCTCTGAGTGAGTTATCAGAAAAAGCCACAACAACACTAACACAGCCCTTAGAGCAGGAAAACTGTGTGGATCAAGACACTTCCAATTTTTAAAGGCACATATGACCAGGTAGACAGAGCTATCAGAAGACCATGAAATGAAATAAAGTTGCAAGAGTAATTAGTCAATTTTTTCTTTTTTTTTTTTTTTAGCATAAATATCTATTTAAATTAACTTTTTCTCATCAGAAATAACAGCTTTGTGTTATATAAGAAGTGGTGTTACAGGCAGGTAATGTAACATATTGCTTTATCCTCGTGCATCCCAAAAGTGAGGTTTCTAAAAAATTATACAAATTTTTTATACAATTTTTTAAACAAATACAATTTATTTATACAAATACAACCTGAAAAATACTTGCCAGCGAGACAGGAATTTAATATAACTTAGGGATTGTGAATTAGTGTAATTATACCTGTTGACCATTTGCCTTGGTAAAATCTCATAAAAAGTAGTTTCTACCTTCTTTCCTGTGAATAGGATCTTGCATAATTTTCTGGTAGCATTCATACTGTGCTGTCATGATTTTATTCCGTGTGACACTCAGTTGTGAGGAGTCCTCTGTGATGTTCTGATGCCCCTCAGATGGTACAGCAGTGGCCAAAAACTAAGAGGAAAGAGACTTCTTTTAGCAAATCACTTATAAGCTCCAGCATAAACTTCTTCAACGTCAACCTTTTTAAATATTGTATTTCAAAATATTATTTTACCCAAGAAAAACGATCTTCCAATCTTATTACTGACAGCGTGATTTTTGTGTTTTGCTGGTTAATTTAGCAATTCTTACCACTGAATCTTGACAAATGTCTCCTGAATGAGCACGGGGGAGTAACCAATTGGCAAGATTTGTAAATAATAATGGCAGCACTGAGACAGCCAGAGGCATATAAGCATATTTTTGTAAAATCCAGTGAAATATATCAATGTTTAGTCTAAAAGGTATTTCAGTCAGATCCAAAATGATCCCTTATGAAAAAAAAAGACTTTCCACATACTTTATGCACTGAAGCACTTGGCTTGTCCAGAGCTATTTGGTTTCTCTAGTCTGGTGAACCATAAAGTCAACCCTCAGAATACAAAAAGATATTCGAAAGACATGACATGCACTTTTATAGGTACTAAAATTAAAAAAAAATCTTAGGATTCTTGATCATAATCTGTACCTTTTTAAGTGCATTTTTAATAGTAATTACATGTTTTATGGGAAGCCACTAAATTTCATTGGAAAACAAAGCTGAAGATTGAAATACTGTACCACTGTCATACAAGGGATGAACTTAAAAGTCCTGAGGATGTCCTCTGAATCTCAGATGTCTCCTCCACTCTTCCTGGGGTCTGTAGATTATTGCTTATATGTCACTTATCAACTATTACTGTTCTCAGCCAGCAAAGATCTGCTGGGTTCAGCAGAGGTTAAACATTATTTCTGTTCCTTTACTACAGGAATTTAAAGGAGAACAGAAGGTAGGTGAAGATCCTGTGGTGCAGAAGCCACGTCTGAACACAAGATTAGTTATTTCTGCATTTCCTTATTAATAATTTCTATGGTATTCTCTATATGCTAGTTAAAACTGCAAGGGATTTAAAAAATTCATAAGACTCACCATAGTAACCGACAAGAAGAACAAAAACATGATCCAGTTTTTTATCATTTCTGTGGCCAGTGCAGTGAATTTTATGTCGTAGCTGAATGAACTCGAACTGCAATGGAAAAAAAAAAAAATTTAGGAAGAAATTTAGCAATTAAAATGAAAGCCAAAAGGGACAAAAGACTTATTTTATTTCTGAATTAGAACGAGTCGATGGAGGTCCTCTTGAGTTTTATTCACCCATGTGAATATTGTCATGTGACATCCATGGTGATGTACAACGTGGTGTCGAAACAAGGCCCCCAGTTCACCAGCACTGAACTCCAGCAGAAAGTTTTCTCCTGCCCTGCTGCCTCCATTGCCTCAACCAACATCTACCAAGGTTTTGCCTCAGCCAGGTACTAACTCTAAGAGCAATCAGCCCTGAGACACAAGTGGACTCCTTGACACCTCCGCCACCAGTTTCCTTAAAGTAGACTCAGATCTTCACAAGCACACACACACACACACACACAGTTGTTTTGTATTTTCTTCATACCAGCTGATATTTAATTTTGCCATCTCTGGAATAACTGATCTAGTAAGTAGCCACTTGATCCTGAAGTTACGACTTTGCAAGGATGACAATGACGCTGCAAGAATTAACTGTGAGCTGTAAAATAGTTTCTGTACCTGCAGTAGCTGTAAAGTAGCTTCTTTATCTGTCATTTGAAGAAAATACAGCTACCCAAACCAGCTCTGATCGCCTTACAGTGCAGACTATTCTTGGAATTGATTCTGGAAGTGGAAAATGCACCGAATGCATAAAATATGCAAAATTATTTATTAAATATGTAGACCATCTATCCAGGGTAAACCTGCTGTGACAGCTGCCTCAAAAGGAAGGGAAATTTCTAACAGATTTGTCGTGCAATATTTCACTGTGTCCTGAAGTATCCTGAGAAGATCACAGAGCTGGGCCTGGAACTGAGATAAGAGCTTTTCTTCTGCTTGCATCGTGGAAAAAGGCCTCTCCATATTTAGTTTAAGCTATTAAAACTAAACCACACTTTAAAAATCTAAGTATCTCGTTGTACTACCATCAAAGAAGCTATTTTCAGCTGAAATAAAGATGATAACACATTTGTGAGTGTAGCTCCCTCATACAGATTAACTCAGTACAAATCTTACAGTGTGAATTAAGACCCAAAGCTCACACACTCCAGAAGTCCCTCATCCAGCCAGCTCAAAGATTCCACTGCCACAGAATAAGGTGGACTGTTGGGTGCTGAGGACACAGAAACCTGCATCCTGAGCTAAGGTCACACTTGCTGTTGTCTTTGGAAGTTTTTCTTATCCAGCAGTCCCGTCCTATGAGGGACTGGAGGATGACAAACAACTGGCAGTACATTGGCATGTAGAGGGAATTGTAAAAAAGCTCATTCTTTTTAAAAAAAACCCTGTCTTAGTCACGAGAAGCAACTATTCTGTATCTACTTTTCTGCTTTTACACTGAAACTGAGTCCTCTTAATACAACAATAATACAAGCAACAGCATTTTGTAGGATAAGCTAACCACAAAATATGAGATCACTGCTGTTCACTGGACAGCCTGATGCAGACACAAGAAATGTGTTGTGAAATCAGTTACTTTTTGTGCCTGTTTCACCGAGACTAAAACTGTATCCATAATCTTCCTTCTCTTTTTACCAGTGGCATACAATCCTGTAGCACTGATTGCTGCAAATTGCACAGGTAACTCCATGAGACACTGCAATCCAAATACAATGTTCTGGAGGCTCTTAAAACACTTATAGGAAGACCAGTTAGCATCCCTGAAATATATTAGTTTGAGCAAATACTACTCTGGAACATCCACATGTGGTGAGAACTAAAGTAAATGGATAATTGTAAGGACCATGATCTGTTCACTAAAGAAAAGTCTAAATATCTATGTGTAATAACTAAAGGTTGCCTAAAGCCAAATATCTACAAATATCTAAATTAGATATCTAAGCTAGCAAAAGGGCAATAGGATTTCAACTCTGCATGACAACTGGGGTAAGGATGATTAATTCAAACCTCTAACAAGTTTCATTCATTTACAGGTGTGGCTGTTTTCCTAGGAGAGGGAAAAAACTGGCCCTTCTAAGGAAACTGGAATTAATAACTTGACTGTTTAGTAAGTCAATAATCTTTTCTCTCCAAAGTATGACAAAGCACATCTGTGCAGAGTTAAAATCCACAAATGATGTGCACAGGACAGGCCAAGAGATCAATCAAGTAGAAAACAGCAACCACAATTTGGGTATGTTTTCCCATACACGTATACAAGAGTTCAAAATAATTTTCTCCACAATAGCTCCAAAAATTCTTGTGCTAAAACTAACGTTGGATGGAAAATTTAAAATGCATATTCATATACTGCCCTTGCTTAGCCTTGCTTATCTGGGCTTTTTAATTTATTTAAAAAGATACAATTTATCTAAAAGATACAATATCATATAAACAAAGGCAGAAATGATCTGCTTTGATTCACAGTCCAAGTTTATTTCTGTTTCACAATATCAAAAGTCATCCCTTAGCTCAGTTCCTTTAATGGTCCAAATCTTCTAATACCTAGTGATTTTGTAAACATTTCCTATCAACTGTTCCAGTATCCACTGTTAAATTATTGAGTCTTCCCAGAAGATAAAATGTTAAGTCAAGCCTATAATTCACTCTGTGCTTTCAACTCATTTCTCTCAACTTGCACACTTCAAAAAAATGTATATAGAGAAAAAAAAAAATCCTTTTTCTAAACATCCCTACTTGTGGACCAAAGCACAAAATGCAGGATGAAGGTCATTCAAGTGCCTATTTGGACTTCAGGAAAGCATTTCTTGCATCATTACATGAATTCATTCACTCAACATTTATTACAGTTGGTCTAGAGAAGAAATTTCCAAAGGACAATTTAGGACCTTTCTCGGGGATGGATGGACAGCAAAATCCAGCCCATGGACTGAGGCAGCAAGCCAGTGCTGCTGAGAAAGTCAGCCTTCTTTTCTTAATCATCTGCTCTGATGAGATACAAACCAAACAGAGTTCTCAGGAAGTTCTTTCCCTCCCAAAGCTGCGAGGTATTAGGCACACAAGGAAAAGAAATTAAGAGTAAAAAGAGACCCATTGGGCTGCTGCTATAAGTCTGACAGTTTTACTGTGGGGAAGAGAAGATAACTCTGTTGGGCTGAGATTAATCTATCTTGAATGGTAACTGGAGGGAAAAGATGGTGGAAGCTTAGATAGAATCCCTTGACTCCACTCTGTGACAATGGGGACCTGAACAAAATCCAGTAGGACCATGATAGGTACAGAATGAAACTATAAGTGGTGTAAACCCAACACCACAGCTACCAGCACTGTTCTGGCTTTATTTTCCCTGTAAAAGGGATCATCAGATCTTCAAAATGTCATTTTTATTTGCACCAAAGACAGTGAAGACCGGGGTAACTTAAAAAAAAAAAAAAGAGAGAACTTCCTGATTTTCCTCTTTATTATGTTCTCTGTTACCCACATTAATGATGCTCCTGAGGCCAACATTGTGTTTGTCACTGATAGCAGTGACATCTACTGAAGAAGGAGGAATTCAAAAGGAACTGCAAGCTGAACTTAGCCAAAATAGCCACTGGTATGGCTTTAACAGATGTTCACATTTCTCTTCCTTCTGCTTTCTCTACAGAGCCATCCTGCTTAATCAGCTGTTTCTACTTTTAACCTTGCCCCATCCTCCCAAGAATAAATGGCATCCTTGCTGAGCTCCAGACACTTCCCATTTCAATGACAGGGTAAAAGGGTTAAAAAAAGTAGTCAGCGAGAAAAATCTTTTTTTTTTGAACTTGAAAACCACATTTAGCACAAAATCCGAACCGCAGACAGCTTCTACCTTAGCAGTTGCCCTCGAGTCTGCCTTCAAGTCAGAATGTAACTCTGTGGGAGTGGGATAGGAGGGAGACCCTACTTATGTCTTTGCAGGGACATTCATAGACATGCCCAAACATTTTTCACTAATTGGTAATCTTTTTGCCCAGGGAAAAGAAGCCAAACACCTAAACCAACCCCAACCCCAACAACAAAACCACAAAACATTTTCAGTATAAATGACACACCTTGCAGTGTGCTTGTAACGTTGAAGTTAAATAGGTGTGGATGTAGATGTATATCCTTCCTCTGTGACTGAAAATGGGGTCAGAATGGGTATTTTCTAGACCATCTCTCCCCCCTTTTTGTTGTTCTGTCAGTCCCTGATTTTGTTTTGTTGCAATATCTCTCAGAAAGAGCTGTGCATGCTACCTGGTTACTTCTGGTTCTTTTTAGAGAGGAGTATACAACTCAAAGTATTTAAAATCCCAAGCCATGTTTGGTTGTTTCTGTCCCAGGCACAGGCAAAAGCAACGAGCTGGAAAATGCCCTATACTTTTCCCTAATTTGAACTGCTGTAGTACAGTGTTATAAAAAACAACCCCAAAACCAGTAGCCTCAAATGGAATTACATCTCCACTCACATAAACTGTCTGGGAAATACTCTTCTGACTAAAAGGCTTAGCAAGTGGGCAGTACCAGCCCAACATTAGTGCATGCCAGATCCACTGATTCCCTAAAAGTGGACTACAGAATCTCCACACTTAGAGAACAATGCAGGGCAGTTTGGAAATCCTCCTATTTGGGTAAAATGCCTTTAGTTCTGAGGGAATTCCTTCTGTCAGCATTTGATCAAACTGTTCTAATGGTATTCCATAACAGCTCACAGCTGTATGTGTGGGAATTACTCCATCCTTCTCATAATTACGGAGTGAAGAAAATAATAGTTATGGAACAAATTTAATGAACTTTGCATAGCACAGCTTCATGGCACTGGAATTCCCTACTGGCTGCCACTTTGAATTAAGGCCCAGGCATCAGCAGTTACAGACTCCCAAAACAGGTGAGACAGATCAAAGGAGTGGGATCCTCCCTGAGATAATGGTTATATTTCAGAAGCATGAGCTCTTCACAGCTTCCAACATGTTTCACGGCACTGCTCCCTTCATTCTGGTATTGACAGGGTTGGGTTTTTTTTCAAATGTATTCTCCTTCACTTGAAGAAACTGGCCT